ATTATATTAATACATATTTTATTACATTATATTAATACATATTTTAGGAATACTGCACGAAATTCAACTCGTGGAATATTAAACTGTGAAAGGGAATAATTAACTGTTGCCTATTAGTACATCTAATAACTTAAAACAGAGACTGACCCCTTAATTTAATTTACTTAAAAAATATAGGTATATATTATTATGCTACTTATTTAACTTTGATTTTTATTATTTACTTCTTGTCTTCTTGAGTTTATTCTAAAAAAAATTATGATTTATTACTTACATGGATACAAGGATATAAAGTATTTTAATCGTCATTTTACAACTCAACAAAGTTTATTTTTAGAAATACTGCACGAAATCCACTCTTTAATTCGTGGAAATTAAACTGCGAAAGGGAATAGTTAAATATTTTTGCCTATTATACTTTTATTAACTTAAAACCTGCAAAGAGACCCCTTAATTTATTTTACTTAAAACAATATATATATGTATTATTATGTTACTTATTAAACTTTGGTTATATTGTTTTCTTTCTTGTCTTGTTGAGTTTATTCGAAAAAATGTGTATGATTTACTACTTACATGGAGTATTTTAATTGTCATTTTACAACTCAGTGAAATTCCGGTTGTAACAAAGTTTATTTTTAGGTTCCCCTAAACCGATGCCAAAGAATTTAAGGTAATGTCATTATTATACTTTACTGTTTCTAAATTCATTAATCATATACTAGTAAAAGTATAATTATATACCTGATATAGTAAAATGTGAATTATGTGGATTACATAGAGACACTTGTTGTTTCATTGTATATACACAACATATACTAAATGGATGATCATATTTACACATTCTGCATGGAGCCTGTTTGCTGTTCCATTAATAATAACAAGAGTTATGATTATGAATGTGATTGCTGTCATCTCACAGCCACTAGATGGCGACAGATCTCTTTACTTTATTTTAGGGACATGTATTACCTGTCACTTAAGAGCAGTGATCCACTATGTTAGTCATCTCATTACTCCACAGTTGAATGAGACTCTTGGGAAATAGCTCTATTATAATGACCTAGTCTTTCTATCTCGTCTTTTTATTTATTAATAAAGACTAGACACAGGTTGTTATTTCAGGAGCTTCTTTGACAACCGATAGGGTCATTTTAATGTGTTTATTTGCACCTGCAGGCCAGGAAGGCTCCTCTAGTAAAAGTATTCCCTGAGACAAAACTGTAAACTCCTCTTATTCCACCCAAATGAGTCATTTATAAGCTAGTTTACAAGCAGGTCTGGTTCAGGCCTTTTGTTTGGAAAGTCCTCAGTTATCTGTCGCTTGTGTTTGCCTTGAAAAGAGGAACTAATGTGGAGAGTGACACTCATGGGACTCACTCTGCTCCTCCTCTTTTCAATCTTTACTCAATACTTCTATAAGTCACTTTGAAGCGGACAGTGAGACGATCAGACCTCCAGACAACCGTCAAGCACAATGGAGGAATCAACCGGCAGATCAACCAAGAAAAAAGTTGTAGCAGTGGTGGGCGGTGGTTTGGTAAGAAGAGACAATTAAAGTGAATTATTAATTCATTGTGCAGCACCTCTTGTCTCTTGATCTCTTGAATGCACATTGACCTTTACCAAGGCAACTGTGCTCTTATAAAAGGGAACAATTCTACAAAGTCCTTTTACATGGAAAGAAGAGGACAAAAAAGCACTTTAAAGTGTGGAATAAATGTGTTTAGCAATTGCTATGCAGCCTATGTAGAGTTAATAAGGCATATTTAAGAGATAATTATTCATGTATGACACTGTACAGCCAGAAATTTTGGCAAGATTTTTAAAAAACTCTCCTTGTCCTTATCTCCTTCACCCATTAGGTTGGGGCCCTGAATGCCTGCTTTTTTGCCAAAAGAGGCTTTGATGTGCAAGTGTTTGAAATTCGGGAAGGTATTATTCAAAACTCTCTTTTAAACTGACTTTAGTAAATAACATCGTAACATCACTCCTCTCTCTAAGGAATAGATCCATCCCACACATCCATATTATAATATTTCTGAACCTTGTAGTTAGACTGAAAACACTGTGTCTGATTCTGGTCAGATATCCGACGAGCCAAAATTGTGAAGGGGAGAAGCATCAACCTGGCTTTGTCTCACAGGGGCCGACAAGCTCTGAAGCATGTTGGAATGGAAGATAAGGTATGCTGATCAAATATATTCACTGTTGAGCTAATAATGAGGTACAGGTACACTGCAGGGGAATGGTGATCCTACCTTGTTTGTATATTGGTCTAAAAGATTGGTATGAAACAAATCAGTAGCATATATTTGTGTAGGTCGTCCATTATTCCTGCCCTTACTGCATAAGTCCTCTTAATCTACACATCATAGACAGTAAGTGGGTGGAAACTGTTCAATAATTAAATATTAAACATGTGGCCGGGCCCCAGGGAATCTGCTTCCTTTGCTTACAGTCCACTTAAGATGTTTTATCCTGGCATCTGAGGTCAGTGATGTTGCTTTGTTGGCCGGCATTTGCTGCACTGACCATGTACACCCGAGAAATCTGCATCAGACCCTTTTTTTACACTTGCATGACTTTTCAGCATGACAGAACAAGGCTTTCATTGCTGATTGACCACATGGACTACCTGGACTGTCCACGGCAGGATACCCAGCTTCCACACAAACTGAGACTGGAAACATGGATTTTTGACAAAGGATAATATTATACAGATTTGTTTATTCTAAATGTTAATACATGGGTTTTTATTTCACCTGTATTAATAATTTTTCCTCAGATTGTCTCCCAGGGAATCCCCATGAATGCGAGAATGATCCATTCCCTGAGTGGGAAACAGTCCCCGATCCCTTATGGCAAGAAAGGCCAGGTAAAGCTGGATATAATGTGTACAAATATTTGATAAGAGCCACATATAAGAGCCAGAATATGACTTAACTGACACATTATCCCCTTTGTATATTTTTGTGATGTAAGTTCTGCAAGACCTTCAAACTACAACATGTTTCAATTGCACACATAAAGCTGTGATGACCTATTAGTTAGGATTGATAACATATCTTAGATTGGATTGTTATTTGCATGGCCATTCAGTATTAATATATCTTGTATACAGTGTAGTTCATATTTCCAACATATTGCTGAAAGTGTTAGTAGACACACTGTAAGAATTGCTTCATGTCAGTCGACACATTGAATATTAATTCTGCAGCTTGCTAGACCTAGCGCTGACATAGGTGTGCTCGTAAGCACACACATACAGAAATGAGCAGGCACACACTGAGGTATGTTAGCTGAAGTAGGTCAAGGATGCACCGAATGATGAAAAGTAAGTGAAAACTTGTGCAGTCAGACCGAAATGTGTTGTCACATAACGTAACAATAGAGTCCAAACAAAAATTGGGTTTGTGTGTCATTACACAACGTGTGCCTGTTCTTTATGGTTTGTCTGTCTGAAAATAGTTGTTTTTGATTACACTGCTGCCCGTTTGGCAGAGATTCTTAATCTCATTAGATGGTTGAATAAAACAAAAATATACAAGACAGACAGTGAAAGCATGTAGATTCATAGTATAAACCACAGAGGCTTCTTGTTCCCATTTAAATGAGCAGTGTTAAAGTTCTGTTTGTGAAGTTGTACTGTGCAGAATCACACTAACATACAGATTGTTCTCCTTTCAGTACATCCTCTCAGTAGACCGAGCAAATCTAAACAAAGAGCTGCTAACAGGTAAGAGTATTAGTCTATTTTTTTAATGTTTAATTCAGCCAAAACAGCCTTGGAGCATTAACACCGAATACAGTATCATGGGATGTGTGCTGCTGAAATAAACAAATTATAATGGAACTGAAAGAGGAATTTAACATTGAAATGATGCACCTTTCCTACAAGATATATAATACTGCAAAATTTGACTCGTAAAGAGTTTCAGCCCCTTTCAGACATGCAGCCCTTTATGTTAATATGACGACAATTTGACATGTCTGTCTTATGTCTGAATGAGTGAGTGCCAGAGTTACGTCCTGATGTATCATCTCAATCTTTATTATCAAAGAAAATAAAATCGGACTAAAAGCCAAATTTAAGTTATTGAGAAGATTTCTCAATTATATCAGGCTGTATTTCCCCCTATGGAACCTTGAGAGGAGGTTGAAGAAAATCCCTCATACAACCAACTCAGAATGTCCCTATGTGTTTGATTTTCCTTCATACCAACTGCATGATTGAATCAATGAATGTCAAGCAGAACACTTTAAATATAGCATGTGACCTTAAAGGAGGTGGAGTCCCAACTTAACACCCTGTCATTCAAACAGGCAGCAAATTCGCTTTCTAATAACATTCAAATTAGATTATGTAACCTTTGCTGAACTTTGCTAGTGCAGCCAAGTAACAGCTATGGGATCATGCTAAATGTGAAAGTGGAGAAAGGATCACTACCTATTTACTATATAGTGCATTATACTGTGCACCATTTTATTTGAGGGTCCAAATTCTGCAAAAAATATTTCACAATGGAACAGAAAAGTTCTGTCCATGGGATGTACATTAGCTAACTTCTGCTAACAGTCCCACAATAAAATGCGTCACATTTCATAGATGCAGAAACTATGTTGACGCAAAATGGTGATGATTATATTTGTCTGAAATCTCACGAGAACTACTATCACTAGTGTCAGCGAACAAGGTAGCGGTTTTGGACACAGCCATAAAGTCATAGTCAATATCTGCTCGAGGATTGCTAACATTAACTAACATTAGCTATAAGCTGTATGGTCATAAAAGACCAAGTAGGGCTGTAGCAGCTAAACCCATAGTTTATGAACTGAGCAATTTTATTGCTAATGAATTCAACTTTTTATCTGAAGAGGAGGAAGAAGAAAAAGAGTTATTTCTTCTTTCAAAAGTTACACAGTATCACTTTAAAGAATCACTCCACTTTTACAAACAGCATATTATACAGTATATGAATCCATATGGTTCCGTTCTATCAAAGCGTTAATTAAGTTTGTACTCTCAATACATTCTTAATTTATGAACTCTGCACAAAGCTTAAAAGTTAAAAGACATACACTTTCTTTACACCAATTGGTCTGATTGAGGCTGTTTGCTGGCAAGCTGAGCTTTATCCACACACTCCCTGTGTGTCTTTAAACTGCATGAGTACATCAGGGAATGTATTAGTCTTTTCAGGCTAAAAGGATTTTGCCTAATATTTAATGAGTGCTTCAGTGTACGCTTGGAGATAATGTGCAACAGCATGGGCCTTTGTTTATTTAGATTGCCTGTGTCTGCTGAAAAAGATGCTGATTGTTAAGTCGAAGCTCTTATCGGGGCCAATCCAGACTCCTGGAATGAACATTGAGATAAAGAGATTTTGGAAACTGTGACAACCGATGTTAAATCAGATACGTTGACTGCTGTGTTGTGTTGTTCATGAGATTCACGCTAATCAGTGTAAGGTCATTCCCCTTCAGCGGGGGATGGATTTAACTGTTTCACAGTCTGTTTTCTCACTGCATTTTATTAGAATCGTGAAGGTTTTATGTGTATTTGAACAATTATTACCTGTAATGCTGTTAGCGTTACATCATGCCTGCATCTGTGATATAAGCTCCTTTTGTAACATTTTCCTCCCACAGAGGCAGAGAAATATCCAAACACAAAGTTAAACTTTGACCACAAATTGCAGGACTGGTCTGCTGAAACAGGGCTAATGACCTTTGTCAGGTAAATAGTTACTGATCTTACACATGCGCACCCCTGTACTCACCACACACGCTCTCACAGATACACATATAACACATGGAGGTTAATCTAGGATGAGGATCTGCTCATTTGGGATTCCTCGTTTTAACGACGGCTTTATCGATCGCGTTCCCTTTGCGTTCCTGCATGTAAACACGTGTGGCCTTGTACACGTTAACTGCCCCAGGTCTGGGATGGTGATAAACATGTTGCCTCTGAAGCCTCTGTGCGTGACTTTTTTGTAACTCTGTAATTGTTTGTCCTTGAGCAAAATGTTACACACAATTTACAACCCAATTAACACTGAAACACCTCCAGGTCTTTGTGGGCATTAGCGTACCCATGCAGTGAATTATTAACACAGTATGCAGGAACACAAACTGTGTTTAATTTGATCACAGAGCTTTTAAATTGAGCTCAGCCTTATCTAAAATGTGTAAAAATCCACTTGATGTGTGCGTTGTTATTTCTAGTTATTTATTCTTTTAATGCCTGGTGGTCCAACATTGGAAATGTCGATTAGAATGAGTCACTGCGGAGCTACAGCCACAGTGAACAAACAACTTTCATGCACTTTAATTAATTCAAGTTTTGCATAAAGGTTGTGAGTGTGCCTTGAAACCAAAAAGTCACCCTGGTGTGCACCTTACACATCCAGGACATATCCTTCCCTCCACCCTGTGGTTCAACTGTGACAGCTCCTATTTGCTCCCTCCAGCTTGTATAATTAAATGTACACGGAGAACCAGATGCCAGAGTTTCCTCCCATACTAGTCAGGAAATGTTAAAAGATAGCAATCAGCATGAAATATACATGACCGGCTTTCTTCCCATAGTCTGGTCTATAATTGTACTAAATCTAATAACATGTTAATGAGGTCCTTGAATATCTTTGAGCACCGTTCAATATTGTAATCAGATTTTTAAAATACAATATCTTTAGGTGGAGATCTGTAGCACGGCGGTGGGTAGACACAATGTGAAATCAACATCCCACGGTGCACATACAAGTAACAACAAAGGATTGTCACCGAGCCTCACAACACTGTAATTAGGAAACCAGGTATTGTCAGATTTAATATGCACTGGGTCAACTTACAGATTTACTAGTCATTAACCGACATTTATTGTCACATGTGAACATGTACAGACTTCCTAGTGAACTAGCAGCATGGCTCTATGAATAGTAATGTGGGTGCATCAGTTTGGTCCAGACTGAAATCTCCTTTTATGTTTTGACCCATAGCCATGGACTTTATGCACAGCTTCATACAGGATGTGACCCGAAACACTCTGCAGCCTATCCTAATCCTACACACTGGACCTCTAAAGCATTTTGGCAACAAATTAAAGTATGTCCCCTGCAAGGATCATTAAATTAGATTATAGAGTGCTAAGAATCCAGACGTACTCAACATTGAGTTTAACAGACCTACCGGCATTTCCACATGGCTCATTAGTGTGTGCTGTCCTGTGGACACAGTCAGTTCTTAGTTGGAAAATTTAACTCCAGCAACTGACAGGATGCTGCACATCAGACTGTGTCCAGGGACGTCAGGAGAACTGACTCCTGCTGTTTGAAACAGCTTTTAATGGAAAAGAGTAGATGCATCTAGCAGTATACAGTGTGTTTATTGTGACAATGGCTGCGAGCGAAATTACTGTGAATCAGAAAAAGCCACAACCATTCAATAGATAGTTCCATTCAGGTCAAATACGAGTCAGAGTGCAGCTATTGTGCATGCTGGATCACTGGAAAGGCTCTGCTACACTCAATGGAACAGAACTTTATTAGTATCATTGGTAACACCAGTGTTTACCCTACAATTTCATGTCAAAATGGCTAGTGTGAGAACACTAGTCATTTTGACATGAAACTTTTTGAATTTAAAGCATCAGTGAAATACTGTGTTTGGTGAGTAGGTCATAAGTAAGTTTAAATTTGTAAGGGCAACGGCCATGTGCCATTTAGATCTCAGTATAAAGGAAATGTTTAATATCTGTGGGAATCAAAACATTTTTAAGTTGTAAAAAGTCAGTGTCCTGATTTTCCAGTGTACTAATGGGAAAGCCAAAAAAGCCCTAAGTGTCTCCTAAGTCCTGCAGAGGAAAAGAAACTTCCAAAGTGTGCTTGATGAAAAGGCCAAGTGTGAGAAAGAAAGGCTCAAACATACAGCTCTCAGCCTGCATTAGACTGAATCATACCTGCAGCACTTAGCCTGAGGGACGCACACTTACCACCTTTTCTCAGGATAAACATCTACAAAGGAAGACTTTTTACACACCAGAGTGTCAGCCTGGGTGACAGGTACATCAGGACACTGCCTCCAGGAAGCCTGATGAAGGTCTCTGACTGTAAAGTTCCCTTTGCTCATTGAAATTATTTACCATGTAAACGGCTTATGGTGTATATATATATATATTTGTAATGTTATGGACTCTAGGTATAAAAGGGCCTGTTGTGAGAATGTAGTAAAGTTATTCAGCTTATATACATGGTCATCAGTACACCGTACACTGAAGTTAAGTTGTCATGTTGCTGGTATGTTTCTCAGGTCAGATGGGTCCGAGGAGCAGATCCAGGCAGACCTGATTGTAGGCTGTGATGGAGCTTTCTCTGCCATCCGCAAGCAATTCCTTCGTCGCAGCCGCTTCAACTACAGCCAGACCTACATCCCCCACGGCTACATGGAGCTCACCATGCCACCCATCAACGGAGAGGTCAGTCCTCTGTGTAGTGTCCTCTTTTTATTGAACATAGTGAGATGCTGCTAGTGTTAGACTCACAACTTTCTGTGGACTCATCGTAGATGTCTTCTTGTTTATTTCATTTTGTTTGTCCCACTTTCATCATCATCTCCAGTTTGCCATGAAGCCTAATTATCTGCACATCTGGCCACGAAACACATTCATGATGATCGCCCTGCCCAACTTGGTAAGTGGGAATTATATCTTCCTCTCTCCTGTGTTTTTTTTAGCTTTCACACTACAGTTACAAACCGACCAATGTAAACTGTTTATTTGTGAGCTAGCTGAGACAAAAGCATAATCACTTCAGAGGATTTCAGGGCATGATTGACCTCTGGGATGTCCTCATACAGTTAATTAGCCTTGTTTACAGACCCTTCATAGCCAGTAGAGACTTACTCATCAGAAATCTTACCCAGTTTCCACACAGCAGTGTGCCCTCCTTCTCACAGTCTCGCTGTCTGCTTTCATCAGATTTCTCTCTGTCTCTTTCCTTCTTAACCCTACAATGATTTTTCTGCATGACTGACTCAGCACAACAGTTTTGCTCTCTTCAGTGAGGCCAGGTTAAGGCAGCTGACTTTGGAAAGCATTCACACTGTCACTTACTGCCCTCGATCCCAGAACACATTAGGGCTCAGAAAAACAAAACAAAACACATCCTTGCCGCTGTGGATACCATGGTAACAGAGACAGAGCGCTAAAAGGTTCTCGTGGAGGACTCTGTGATGCTGATAGATAGCACCTGCTCAGATGGGCACATAATGGCACGCCCACAACCCCCAGTGCACTTTTATCCATCACTTGCACTAGGTGGAGTTTGGCTATACGCTTCCGACAGCTCAAAGCGCTTTACACTGCACACTACAATGTCACTATTTTACTTTAAATATACAATGTCTCCGTAGTGTGAATATTTGGCTAAATAATAAGAATGTTTCAAGTGTGTATGTACATTTCCATCGTTGTCTACCAATCAGAAACAGGTTTGCATTTGCACTGCAGTTTGCAGTGATGCATTTTTAAAACAACCCAGCAGTCAACCAATGACCAAAAGAATAATGAAAACTGATTGTGGTAAATGCTGCACTTACTGTATATGGCGCTTTTCTATTCTTCCAGCCACTCAAAGCGCTTTACACTGCTTGTCACCCATTCACACAGTGATGACAGAGGCAGCCATACAAGGTGCCAACCGCTCATCCAAAACTGAAACTACACACATTCACACACATTCACACACCGATGGCACAGCATAGGGAGCAATTTGGGGTTAAGTATCTTGCTCAAGGACACTTTGACATGCAGCGGGAGGATTAAACCATAAAGCTTCTGATTAGTGGCCGACCCGCTCTACCTCCTGAGCCGCAGCCACCCTCAAATCAAACACCTAGGGTGATTTCAATTTTTTTTTTCAGATGTAAGTGCAGGAACCACAAGCAGAGCTTTCTATGGCAGACCAGAGTGAGCCCATAAAGTGATGCAAGTTACTGAAACAAAGTTATTAAATAATCTTTATATGTGAAATGAAAAAAAAAAAAATTCTATGTGCGTAGCATTAAGGAACTACAAACTCTCATTTTGTTATACAACCTTGTGTAGTATAATGATGAATAAATGTCCTTGATTCCTTGAAGTCTGGGACAGTTGAAAGTAGAATTTGGGACAGTTGCGAGTCACTGAGGAAAAAAATTAATAAAGTAAAACCCCTGTTCATTTTCCAATTTAGGACAAGACATTTACTTGCACCCTCTTCATGCCCTTTGAGGAGTTTGAGAAGATCACCACAGGAGATGAAGTCATCCAGTTTTTCCAGAAATACTTCCCTGATGCCATACCACTAATAGGAGTGTAAGTGACTTTCTCACCTCCACTCTTCTCTCTCCCCACCACCGTCAGTCTGCCTCCCCCTTTTCTCCCCACCCTGCCTTTATTTCTTCATCCAACCTGCCAAGCCATCCTCAAAAACACTTTAATTTCATCCATCACCCGTCGACTTCAGGCCCATCCACAGCCATGATCTGTGATGTGTGAAATTGCAGTTACATGGCTTTGTGGAGTGAGGTTTTAATTTGATGTGAAGCGTATGTTGTGGGTGACGGTGAGATAGCGGAGGCATGAGCTGTAGAAACGCTTGAGGCTTTCATTCACTCACTTCCTCTCTGGGTTATTTGGAGTGCTCAGGCATAAACATAACTGAATGCAATGCTTTTGTTCCTCTGTTTTGCTGTTTAACTTGGTTAGCATGGTTGTTTTAGCTTACTCAGATGTGACAGACGCTTTTGTGGCAAGAAAAAACAGTAAAGTGTGTTTAAAAAAAAGCAACTGTCAAAATTAATATCTCAAAATGGGTTTGTAATTGTTTTATTTCCATTTGTGCCTCACAGTGATGCTCTCAAGAGGGATTATTTCCGATTGCCTGGGCAGGCCATGGTGTCTGTCAAGTGCACCCCATATCACATTGGCGACAAGTGTGTCCTTATGGGCGACGCAGCCCATGCAGTGGTGCCTTTCTATGGGCAGGGGATGAATGCTGTAAGTAACAAAGAAAACAGGGAAGACAAGGCAGAAAACAATTGGAGACTCATTCATCCATTTATGCTTTATAGGGCTTTGAGGACTGCATTGTCTTTGACGAAATAATGGAGCAGTTCAGTGAGGATTTCAGTAAGTACCTTATAAATGAGCAAAGATTAAAGGGGACACAGAAGTGACAATTCATCATATTTTTTTTCCTTTGTGTGTCCACGCAGGTGCTGTACTGCCTGAGTATACCAGAGTGCGAGTTCCAGATGACCACGCAATTGCAGACCTGGCCATGTACAACTACATTGAAGTAATGCATATTTATTTAATATGTCCAATTTAACCTCATACTTTAAAATGCATCCTATAAAGTGGGGTTAAGTGATAGTGTAGTGACCCCAACACAAGAAATTGGATGGATGATTGTGGAAGAAATATAATGTGTCAATGTCACCGCATAAAAGTAATACATTGCCAGTGAAAGTGAAAGCAATAGAGCATTATGTGTGAACTGAACAGATGCAAGAACTCATCGATGCTTTGCAGACATATTTGGGAGCCATGTAACAAGCTACAGCCAATGAGAGCAAGAAATCAAACTCCTGCTGTCATCTGAAGTCAATATCTGAACCCAGTCTTATCATGCATTGATTTGCATTTAGGGGAACAATAGTAGTTTCTATCAGAACAGATTTTCAGTATTTATAACCCTGCTGTCTTTCCTAAACCACAGTACGAACAAGCAGCTACGTTTTTACCTCCTTTCTCTCACCCAAATTATATTCCTTTTCTTCGTTGTTTTTTTGCTGCAGCACAACAGTGATGTGCAAATCGGCTCTGAGTTCATTTAAAATCAGCTGCACTACTTATTCGCTTTAGAGACCAAGATCCTCTTGGACATTTCACTCGACCTTTACCAGTCCCTGTAGGCTCTATTGCCTTGTAATTTAGGTCAAGCAGCACAAACTCTCCAGGTGATTTCTTTATTGTGTGTTATTTAATGTTTTAAGTATTTACCTTAATGATTAGAGAGGCTGCTTTCAGTAGTACTGTGGCTTTACTCCAAACTGTTTCACTGTATGAACCTGTGTGTGACCTTTTGGATGTGTAGAAGGACATTAATTAACATTAAACCCTAACTGATCCTGTCGGCGTGTCGGGAGATTTAAATAATCAAGTTACACTGCTGTGCCTTGTGTGTAAATGCGCTCAGCGTCTCTCTTAATGGGGAGGCGCTTCGTCCAAATTCACCCACCCGCAACCACTTCAGAAAATTCTCACGTGTGTTTTTGTGGCAGAACTGTCACAGTTGAGCAAAGAGGGTGACCAGGAACATGAGGAATGGGACCCAAATGCAGACTCAGAGGCGAAACTGGTGCAGTAAAACAATTTATTGACAAAGTCAATGTACAAAAACACTTAAGGGATGTTCAGAGAGGTCAAAACCAGATAAACAGTCTAATGGGGGCAAACAAATCCAACAGGGAGCTGGCAAATCCAAAGTCCATTCAATGGGAAAGGTCCAAGAAAACCAAGGCAGAGATTAAAAAACACTAGGAAGGCACTGAGACAGGGACACACAAATACTAGGAGGCTATAATGAGGGACATGAAATTAATGATGGCAGACAGTTACACAGGTGGGAAAACCCACAAAGACAGGAAGATTTTTTGGAGGGTTTTTATGCCTTTAAACAGAAAGTGAAGCTGCTAAAACAAGAGGAGAGTACAAAATGGAAGAGAAAAACCTAAACATGAGTGAATGAAAATCATAAAACAGAGAAAACATAACCCAGGGAGCAAAAGTAACAAAAACGTTCCTCAGCTATGCTCGCCCAACTATTCTATGTGTATTGATGACTATAAACTGATCCCAGTTTTACATGTAAAGTTCTAATCCGAAAAGTAAACACTCAATGTAACTGTGAAATAAATGAATATAATTGGGTAAAAAAAACAATATTTCCCTCTGAAATCTCGTAAAGTAGAAGTATGAAGTATCATATAATAAAAATTCAAAGTCCGAGTAACTCAAAATCGCACAGAAGTACAGTAAAGAGTAAATGTATTTTAAAAGTACAGAAAGTCAGCTTCTGTTCTGGGTTTTTTTTCCAAATCCAATTATCTGCAGATATTTACTTTCCATCACAGCAAGTGGACAGCTCCCATCCGTCCATTAAACTTCATACACTCAAACCAGCCAGTAATGGGTCTCAGCCCTATCCTTGTTCTTGCAGGTCTTAAATTCAGCCGCAGCACTTCGTTTTAGCTTAATAACCCCCCCCCCCATTTCACTAACGCATTTTTGTTCTGTAGATGAGAGCCCATGTCAACTCCAGATGGTTCCTTTTCAGAAAATATCTTGATAACTTCCTCCACTTCCTCATGCCAAGGACAATAATTCCACTTTACACTATGGTAAGTGTCCCAATAGACAAAATCATCATTCTCACATTGCTTAGTCTACCAGAAAATCTCTGTCAATTGTTGCCCTTCGCTGTCTCCAGGTCACTTTCACCAGGACAAGGTACCATGTAGCTGTGGAGCGCTGGCACTGGCAAGACAAAGTAAGACTTTGAGAAAATGTGTCTCCTCTTTACACATTCATTTCATCTTCCCTGCACACAATTGACTTTTTGTGGGATGTGTTTGAACCTTCTAGTATTGTAATTCGGGACTCTTTTGAAGTCACAGTATTAAGAGCGCTGAGCATGAAAGGCAGATGTGACTCTCTGGGTAAACACTTCCCCTTTTAGAAACAATGGGGATTTGACAGCCACTCCTGTAAAATGTTTAAACCCACGGGGATGTCTGGGCAAAATGCAAAATGACCTCTATGTGAGGGAGAAAAAACTGCTTCATAAAGTAGAACACTGTGAACAAAAATAAAAAATAGGGTGATATTGACATGTACAGACAGAGAGGGCATGATGGTCTGTTTCTTAACCGAGTGTAGGGAGGATGTTTATAAGATGAAGATAACAACGAGGCCACTGAACTAAGTGAAAAGTATAAAGCTGTATGTACTGTGGGAAGAGTATAAGGCATTAATAAACGTTCTCGGACAATTATAAGCAATACAGATTTTATTATGTTACAAAACCACACATAATAACACATTAATTATGTTAAATGAGCCTGATGTTTATGATTCAACTACTTAAGTCCGGTTTTTACGACACAAAGTCAGTCCACCACTTTGGTCCAGACCAGGGGCGGGTCCAGAGGGGGGACTTTGGGATTGGCCACCCCCAAGTGCACCCTATTATCCCGTCTTTCAGAGGCAGATATCATGTGAAAGTAGAAGACCTGGAAAACCTGGCACAGCCATCTTTAAAGGGACCTCTTGACCTCTGACCTCGAGATATCTCAATGAAAATTTGTTCTATGGTTATCCACATGTGAACATTAAATTCAAGCTAATAAAGTTTTCTTGTATTTTTCACAGGTGATAAACCGAGGCTTGCTGTTCTGTGCCACAGGAGCTGTTTTAGGAGGCTCCTACCTGCTCATTAAAAATCCTCCTGATATCAACAAGCTCATCATCCCTGCTGAGAAAATGTGGGACAGGCTTGCGGCTCTCAGGACCCCCTGAGCACTTTCTCTGTCTCTGATCTGACAGACAAGGTCCAAAAACCGCAGCATCAAACACTAGAATGAACTGACAGGGTCCACATTTTAATTAGAGCCTGACTGAATCCTCTAATGAACACTATGAAGGCTCTGCCAGGCAAATTAATGTACTGTATTAATGATTGTCCTAACTTATACCAGTCATAATGATTTATAATAAGGTTTTCTAACATTTCAACAGTGTTTAACGATAATGGTTTGACTAAAATTTGATTTTTTTCAGTCTTTAGATTTGATTATTTTCATGCCATCATCATTTGCACAATTTGTAATGTGAAAACAAATGTCAGTATTAAACTCACAGACAGGGGCTAGTGTACATCCTGTATGAGTTTATATAGAAACTTATGCATGAATAAATATTCCCTCAGCTTAGTTACTGTCTCCTGTCTTTGGCTCCACTCGTACGACAATACCTGCAATAATGTGGACAGCAGAAAAACAAGTTGGGAAAACAACAATGACTGATGATCATCTTTAAAGTCGCTGACCTTGTTAGCAAACAGTTTATAGCCATGAAGCCACATTAGCATTCACTTGGAGGTGTGTTTGTGTCCACCTGGCGAAGTCCAGTATTCATTATTTTAACTCTGTTTTGTTCTCCACCAACTCCTGAGAGAGACATCTGACTCTCTAACTCTACTATGTTTACCAGCTAGTCTCTAACGGCATCTTCCTGCCATTTGGTGCTGAGTACGACAGGTGTTTCGAAATTTTTTGCTGCAAAACAATAAAGTTGGACAGCTAAACTATGGGCTGAAACTACGAGGTGAAGGTAAAGGGAGCTGCAGATTCAGGTGATAATTCTCTGTAAGTTCATCTGTACGAGCAACCTTTCATATTGTCACATTTGATAAATTCAACTGTTAAAAAATATTGATTATAACTTTAAATCAGCATTTGATATATTGGGAAATACGCTTCTTTGCTTTCTTGCCGAGTTAGATGAGAAGACAGAAACCACTTTCATATCAGTCCTTTCAGCATGAAGCAACAGGCAGCAGGTGGTGAGCTTAGCTTGACATTACAAAAGGAAACAGCTAGCCTGAATGTCTAAAGCATCAACATATATAAAGATGAACTACATGGCAGCTCTCCAAAAGTGAAGCCAAACTATCTCCATCGTCCCCTGGTGCCTGACTGCAGTATAGGTCATAATACATTTTTCCCAAAGATGGTTTCTGTCTTTTTAGTAAAAGAGGTAAAAGAAATATCTAAAATGAATCAATTAACATGTGTATATAAGTTGTTTAATCCGTATAAAAAACTGCTTAGCGGCTTAGCTAGCCATCATGGCCATAGCTTCATATTTAGCGAAGATATGAGTGGTATCAATCTTCTCATCTAACTCTTGACAAATAGGAAAAAATATGGATTTTCCATAATCTCAAACTATTCTTTTAACTAAACAGTAAACAAAGACCATTCACTCACTCACTCACTCACTCACTCACACGTCCTCACTGAACAAGGGTTTTATCAGCTATGGAAATCCATTCATAAAGTCTATTCATAGCTGACAGCCCAGGAGGTTATGAAAGGAGTTTCTCACTGGAGCATACTGAGGTTCCAGTCTCATCTCCTCTTATCTAATTACACTCCTGTAGTCCTCATACATATAAATCCACCAAATGTCATTTCGCAGTGACTGCTCTCGTCACACCGGAGGGTTAGATTGCAATGAGATAAGGTACACAAGCTAGGTAGCTTAAAATAGGATCTCTTTATTGAATCCATACACAATAATGTCATATTTGTGTATTATGGTTCATGGCTAAGGAACTAAGGCTTTCCATCTTACGTTTTACACACTTGCAGTTGGGTACCAACCAAAAAAATCTACATGTTGATTCATATTTAGGTCCGTAAAACCACTGGCCTCTGAATACTGGACACAGCTCTGCAGTCGTCACATACCGTATAATAAGTGGGATATTTGACAAGTGTCATTCGTTTTCCAAGAGAAACATAATACTACTTCTATCACCACAGCTGATGTTAGATGAGGATGTCACACTTTCATACTACCTGCTTAGACAAAACACTGTCAGGAAATAGGTTTAATTGAGATCTTGGGCTGACAGTTGGATATTTACAATAAGTTATAGCAAGTCTGTAATTGTGTGTGGACGCAGAAATGTCCAGGAAGGTCAGACGGGATTATTTTGGCTTGGAATTGCATTTTAAGTTCTAAGGCATACGGAGTGGTGGAGTGATAAGTCCAGTCCTTGTGGATCACAGCGGCCTCACTTGAATGACATTAACCCCCGAGGAATCTCCACTCTTGGAGGATACATCCAGGTGGCGGAAGTCATCACTGGTGATGATGAAGACGATGGAGGAGGAGCTGAAGGTCACCCTCTTCTTGGGTCGGTCCCTCCTGCTGCACGCCCTGGACATGACGATTGGTCGGATGGGGCGCTCGACCGGGGCAAGGGGGCGCTCTTTGAGGCCGCGCTGCAGCCAAGAGAGCCGGGAACAGAGCAGCTGCAGCAAACAGCGCCTGAACTGTGAGAGGATGAGTAGGAGGACAAGCAGAGGCAAGAGATAAAAGGGATGAAACGGCATAATTTCCTTACTCATTTGACAAACACACAAGATATCAACCTCTAAGGATACCAGCAAGAGTAGTGTAAATGACAATGCCACTGCTACACACACAAAACATGCCTACTGTACATACTTAAGCTTGGAAAATGTATTACAACACGTATAGGAACCATGTTCTGATGCAGATTTGTATTCTCATTTTGAAATAAACCTGGGAAATCAAATTCTGCACAATTTTGTGTAAAATGATCCCTTAAATGATCATAAGAACTAGTTTCTTTGATCACTTTGAAACACAAGAGGAAAACCATCACCACTAATTTAGATGCTATTGATTTGCCCTATTTGTTCATATTCAATTCTGGGTTCAGCTGTGTTCACTGGAGGAAAGAAAATCGACTGATTACACAGGGAGTGGCCAATGAAACTCTCTAGCAAAACACGTAATGTATTGATTCATTAGACAGAGGCAAAACCTGCACTCTGCAATGAAGGTTGAACCACCACCCACAGTTTACTGATGTCCCATTATTTGTAGGTGTTAAAGTTGCCTAGAATTAAAAGTTCCTTCCAGCCAACAGAAAAAGTTCTTTACTGCAGGTTTCTAATCTTTTATTTCACTTAACGACTACAAACCCTTCTGCTCATGAACACGTAGATGAGGGGGTTGTAGGCTGTGCTGGACTTGGCAAAGAACGAGGGGATGATAGCCACTGTGGGAGAGACCATGCTCTTCCTGCCGAAGGCCTCCATCATGGACACAACAGCGTACGGCGTCCAACACAACAGGAAGCAGGAGATCATCAGAAAAAACATAACGGCGACCTTCTTCTCGTACCGCAAGATTTTGATGATCTGAACCGTCTGGAGGTCCTGGATGGAGCGCAGCTAAAGGAAACAGGAGAGAGTCAGATGCTATCATGAGGGGGAAATGTTTTGTATCAAACTGTGGTTTAACTGTGCAGTCCCAAGGTTTGACTGTTTTAAAGTGTATGTGAAGAAGATTGGGAGCAAAGCAGGAATAAAGAAAGTCACGCCAAGACAATCATACAGCATTTGTCAGGAATGACTTAAACGACCAGTGTGAACGATTTTGCGGCATCTAGTGGGGGGTGAACACCCCTCGTGCTGAAATTGACGACCTGGGAATGAGAATGGGCTAAAGGCCCTATCTACAGCCAGTGTTTTTTGTGCGTTCTGGGCTACTGTAGGAACATGGCGGTTCAACATGGTGGACTCCATGGAAAGCGACCTATGGTAATATGATTCTCTAGTGTCAATGATCATGAAATCCAGCTGTCTGCGGCCCTTTTCTGCATTTCACCCCCGTCCCTCTCTCTCTCCCTCCTTTCCTTTTCCTTTCATGTTTAGCTGTTTCTATCAAACAAAGGCATAAAAAGCCCAGTAGTTCGCTACACGCTTGGAAGGTGAGCGGTATTTAGTTAGTTGCAACCTGCAACTTCACCTCTAGATGCCACTAAATCCTACACATCAGACCTATGAATCATTAATAAAAGCAGTTTTAGCAAAACTGAGAGAACTGGCACTGAGCATGTTTCTATTTAAGACCATACAACTGCTTATAAGTAGGGCTGTGTATGGGCAAGAATGTGATATGATACGTATCATGATACGGGGGTTACGATTAAATTGCAATACTGAAAGCAAGGTGATACACTGCAATTTAGAATAAAGAAAACACCCCATATGGATAAAATATGAGTAAAGGTTTACTTTTTATGCAACCAGAACAATGGGATCTGCATTTGCATCCATCACAGTCGCTGTAACATCCAACATCATAGCCCTCAGTTTACGTTCGCTGCTATCTATCGGTTGGGGGTTCAAACACAAAAATCAATACACTGTTTTTGAGAATTGAAGTGTTCACTGTACTGCATTATTACCATAATCTCGGAAATAGTTGACAGCTCAACGTTGTCATACTTCAATAATAGACTGGGTGACTGACACTATAGATTAGATTACACCCTTCAGCTAAAGGGATGAGACAATAGAGCATATGGCAATTTTCTAGACTCCCTCAAGACAAGTCTACAGCAGCGGATTGAATCACTGCAAGCGTCTATTTTTATTTATGAATGCACAATGTCTGTTTTTATTCATGTTCCATATTTCTTATGAAGCTACAATCTATTTCCATATTAATGTTGTACTGTTCTGCTGTTTTCTGATTTTCTTTGACATCAAGCCAAAAATATTCTGTAGGGTTCAGTGTACTTCACTTTGAAGATTTTCATAGCATCGTGACGTGTGAGGATTCCTCCCAGGTCTCTGAGGTGTTTTGTGGTGCTCAAGCTTGGGGCTCTGAGGAAGCAGCAGCTCACACTTCCTACAAGGCTGTGAATACTGCAGGAAGGAATGATAGCGGCTGCACCAAACTGTGATGCAGACAGACATCTGGGTCATTTGATTAGAAGTGCATGGTGGTTTTCTAATTTACACGTTTGCTTACATACTATCCTGTTTAAACACTTGAGTGGCCATCTGCTCAGTGGCACAAACAGATTAGAGAATCTCGTGGCTCCCAAATTTCTATCACACTTTCTCCAGCGTTTTTTTTTTTGCAGGAATCATTATTGTGAATGCTTAACCCTAATCCTGACAGCCCCACACATGTCATATATTACCAGACTGTCTCCTGTGTCTGATGACATGTGCTGACACTCAAAGGCTGCACTTCTACGGTTCAGTACAGGCACAAGGAACAATGAGCTTTCCGATGATTTCCACAGTACACGACAAGCCCTGAAGCCGCAGAAGCATATTATGATAATGGAGCCTGTAAT